TTGTATTATGTTCCCACTTCTAGGCGCCCTGTGGGGTGAAGCCACATAAACTCTTGGAGCCTTACAAACTCCAAGGGGCTGCCCAAACCTGCCTACATTGCCAGATCTTCTCCAAAAGCCACACAGCCAGAATGACTCTAGCATGTACGTGCTCAAGCATAGTCCTTCTGCTCTCCATCTCTTTTTTCTCCTCAGAGAAAGCCAACCAGTTTATATTCTCTGCCTGATAATCTGTCCTCTCAGGTTAACCATGAATTCAAATATTGGAATGCTTAGAAACAAACAGAAAATGTAACAAAGTTAGCTAAAATAGGTTAAATTCAAGATGAGTATCTGAAGATCTACTACACAGTAGCAAACAACAGAAACCAGCAACATAGATTGTCCCAGGCACTGATAATTCTTGACTCCTAAAGGCACCAGGAACTGTTTGATATTTCTGTATCCCTTGTAAAATTAAGATCAGTACTGATTTAGAGGGTGCTGAGGTAGCCAGACCTTAATTTCATCTGGTTTAACTGTCCAGCACTTGAGAGTGTCCTGCCCTCACAGGCCAAAGTGTAATAGTCCAAAGCATTTAAGTATTCTGTGGGCAGGCAGCTTTTGGGAAAAGACTTACAGAAGCAAGGTCCCATGGCCTGGAGATCAGCTCTTCCTCTCTTCACTCTCATCTGCTCAGCTTGCTGTCACCTTGTTGCCTCATGAGGTCAGCTCTTCCCCAACAGCTTTGCCGAAATCTCTTAAATCCCTTGAATTTTTTTGAGATCCAAGACAAACAGTCCCAGAGAAGAGAACTGGGACGGGAAAATTATTGACATACTTACTGACAAGGAATAGATTTTCTTCAGAATTGAAAATATATTGCTTCCAGTTTGGTTAGTCACAGAAAGTGCTGCTGGGAATGTACCAGAAATACATACTTACATGTTCTTTACTCTCAAATAATGGCAAATACAACTAGCACTAGAGATGCTGAGCACTGATGTGTATTTTCTCCTCCTGGTAGTACAGCTCTGAAGTAGTAAAAATCCTGTTGAAAATACAAGGCATTTATATAGGTGGCATGGATGCAGAGAGCTCAGTGCTTAAAGAAAGTCATCGAGTTTTTTTAGTGACAAACAAACAGGTACATTCCTAAAGAGCAAGCTTAGGGCATCAGTGTAGTATCCCTGTGTGTTGCCTGCAGTTAACACAGGACAGGGTTAAATATCCCAAATGTGCACATCTATCTACAATTTACATGAAATACAGTCATTAAAAATTGTGTATTCTCAAATTAAGGAATAATTACCTGAAAGTCTCAAACACACTAACAATAATTTTAAATGTTAATCTAGTAAATGTTTATAACTAATTTTGTTTTACAGTCTTGTGGCATTTCCAATACAATAGTTCCATACAGAGCCTGAGTTAAAAGAAATAAAAAATTGCCAGATCTTCATAGCTTTGAGTTCTACTGAAGGCCATCATGAGGTCAGTCTTTGTGATGTTCTCCCTGGAGAATTTTCCAGCCCTAGCTCTCTGGATATGTTTTTCTGTCTTTGGACAATTTTTCTTCCCAGCCCCTCTCATTACATGGAATAATACATCTTCTGTTTCAGTTTGAGGCTATTGTGTAATGTTCCACAAGTCACATCTTGGAACTAGAGTGCTCAGCGTTCTTCTTATGCCCTTTTCTTTTTCTTTTTTTCTCTTTTTCTGCCTTACTTTGAAAACATCTCCCTCTGTCTGCAGTTGCAGATGTGTTCACCAGTAGTTAATTGCGTTATTTCTTGAAGTCCTGGCCTGATGGAGGTCGTTAGCCCTGTGTGGCCATCCATCTATGAGAAGGACACTCTAAACAAACCTACGTCCTGAGGACCTCACTGCCATTGTCCAAGCTTGCTTGGCCCCGGCAGATGAACCTTAGGATTAAAGGGTGGGCTCAGTTCAGCGCAGGCTGTGTCTCACCTAAAAAATCCATTGCGCAGGCTGGAAAGGTAAAAGACCTTTCCCCAAATCTTCGTTCGCGAAGATGGGCCATTATTTATTATATTATTTCTTGAAGTATTTCTGCTTTCCATCTACTTTGTGTCTTCTCTGCCTACCTATGTAGGCAGAAAATAGCAATAGCAGCAATACTTGCATTTCTGAGTGCTGCCTCTCTGCAGTCCCCCTTTGTATGTTCTTGTTTCTTACCCCTGCTACTCCCCGAACTCCAGAAAGTACCAGGTAGCAGCTGCTGGAGATGCTGTGCTCCTGCAAGTAACACCGTGTGTCTTTGTAAAACTAAATGTGTCAATAAAAGTACCTGTGCCCACCGCGAAAGAACAGTGAACATATTCTTGCACTCGAGAAATGAGCTGAGAGGTTTTCCGACTCTTCCACCATGGAACAGAGCGGATCGAAAATCCCTGCAAGATACAACTTGCCGTACTGTGGCCGCCAGAGGGCGGGCGAGGCCCCGCCGGCTCCCGGTGCTCCCGGCAGGACTGCGAGCTGCCTCCCGAGGGCCGGGAAACCTCCTGGACGAGGGATGGACACACGGTCGCACCGGGAGAACACGCTGCTGTGAATGTGCGAGCGATCACCGGACGAGTAGGGAAGGGAGGCCTCCTCGTCAGAATGAGCACTTTAGGACGCGCAGGGGGAAAAACGAACAGGTGAAAAGGAACGGACCAGCAGGTGTGCCACAGGTACAGGTCGGAGGAGGGATGGACACTGTGACGAACTAAAGCTCTGCTAAGGCTTCCACAGCATGTCTCTAGCAGAATCCGGCATGTCATTCTGCGGAACAGAGAGGCAGCATCCAACGTGAGTGAGGCCGAAATGACCCACATCTCAGCTACGTGTTACGGGATGTCAACCAAAATGTGACTTCAACAAGATGCTGTTCTTTGTGTTCATCCCACACAATCATTGAAAACTCCTCAATTTTTAAGGGACTGATTGAAAAATTCTTTTAAGAGAACTGCAGGTTTTAAACAAGTCATCTCCATTACTTGCAATCCAAAATTCTCCTTTTTAGTATGTACGTGGGATCTAGGTATGTATTTTCTCATTGCTTCAACCTAAAAAAATGCACAAAACAAATGTTCCAACATTAAAGCTTTATTCATTCCAGGACTTGGCAATAATGCATAAACCTCAAGTCAATAGCTGTAAGTGAACTGCACATATTTCTCACAGTACATTTAATTAAGCTCCCAAAGGTTTTATTTTTAAAAGATTTTAAAAATTTTATATTCTCCTCTTTCTTTCGTAATATAAACGGGAAGAGTTCTTTACATGGCCTGATGGGAATATCTACAAGAAACCATTAGAAACTGCATCTCCAAGCACCTTTCTCTCCCAGCTCAGTTACCAAATTCATTCCCTTCATTGGTACTCAACCAGCTGCAAGGTCTGAGAAGTGCATAGTGCATTTTTTGGCACAAAAAGTTTCATCTATGTGGATTTAAAACCTAAACAAAGGAATCCAGACAAGGAAGAATTCAGCAGCTCATCAAGCCTTTCCAATGATCCCACTAAATAACTGTTCCCAAGGCTCAGTCACACTGCCAGGAACAGAGGACAAGTATACTTGGCATATACTGGTACCCAACCTAACTCTGTTTAGTCCTGTAATCAGGCAGGCAATCAGATAACAGTTACACCGATTTTTTATGCACAGCACAGTGTTTTCCTTCCCCAGAGAGCCCTTCAGCAGAGGGAACTGAGGCTGCCCCTGCTCCCTCTTTACCTTTTCAGGACCCAGACAGAGCGCACAGGAGAACCCCTCCATGGGTTGTCACACAAGCACAAAGTGTCTCAACAGGAAACTGTTCCAGCCAGGAGATTTCAAAACAGTCACAAACATCCACTTCTTTCTTTAGGCTGTATTCCCTCAAGGTCATCATGATCAGTGTTTTCCCTACTAGACTGAAATTTCTTGAGAAAATATATACCTCTCAAAAGGCCAAATTAGCTGTTATTGTTACAGTAACATACAGTATCAGTTTGGAAATAATGACAAATTATTGTGGAATAATTTTTCTGTCAGTGAAAAGCAGCCAGAATGCATGGAATTTGGCTCCACCAGTAAAAATATCAAACATTTGCTTTATGTTCCACTTTCTTAGGGGAAAAGAAAAGAAAGAAAACTCATTTTGGAAAGGTCAGAATTTATAGGAGGAAAAGGAAGGCTTAAATCCCTAAAGTGCAGCAGGTTTAACTCTGTCCCTTTTAATCATCTGGGCTGTAGGAGCTTGGCTGACACCAAATTAAGGAAAACTGGAACCAGATGGTGTAGCTGAAGATTTCTATACTGATCTTTTAAAGCAGCATTGGCACACTTGAAGGGAGGTAAAACACAGTTATGTGAGGAAAGCAACAAACTGCAACCTGTAAGTGAGAAGTTTCAAAACACTGAGATCTTTGGTGGCTGCATGATAACAGTAGCTGGCAAACACAACGTACAGTGAAAATATATTCCTTCTCCATTAACTTTAAGTTTTTCACTCTCTTCTATTCCCCTTTCCACCAGCAGGGGTCCCACAGACATTACGATACAGTAAGAACTGTACAAATACATGGTAGGTTATTTTTCTAGTCGGAGTTAATGAAAAGTCTTCCATTGCAAGACATCGTAAAGCTATTTCAGAGATATTCCTCTATCAATAAAAAGTTGGCCCCATTTAATGGAAGCTTGGAAAGTACACTGTCAAGTTAAATTTGTACCCACATTAAAAAAAATGTTTAGAAACCCATAAAACTAGTAGGAATGTTTACACAATTTTAAAACATTCCAGTAAGGACTGTAGACATTAAACAAATCAGCTTGTTACAGAGTGTTTGAAGCCCAAGCACTAAAACACTAAGTATTCAGGAATATAATTTGCCTTCAAACACTTTTTTAAAAAAGGTGCTCTTTGTTATCAACAAAAGTTGTAAAATTAGATGGGGACAAAGCAATCTCATGGGTGAGTAGTGAGTGGGCTATAGACAGAGGGTTACAGGTTTGCAGGGCAAGATCCTAAACAGGATGGTACTGGTTGTCATGTCAACCGAGGACTGTGATTATGATTTATAAATTTGCAGTAGCCCTTTTAAGGGCACTTCAGGTTTCAGGATATGAATCTGGTGACGAATTATGGCTCCAGTGAAGTCAATAGCAAAAATCCTTCAGTGCACACAAAGCAGCCCTACTTCTTTTGTTTCAAAGACTGCCAACACTCACATACAGAGATTTTACTAAACTGCTTGCATAGTACAGCCAAAATATCTTCTAAGAGGTGATAAATTCTTCTCCTATTTTAGCAAAATCCCTTTAGAGGAGCATAGCAACTCAAAACTGGCTTGTGTCCCCTTTCTGAAGGACACCACTAGCTGCAGGCCACCAAATCCCTCAACACAGGGCTGCTGATGAGGCATACTTAGAAAAGTGTCTCTCATGCAATGTCCTTTTCTTCCTAATGAAGGTAGCAGGAAGATTTCCTTCCTAATGGTCAGCCCACTGGAGCCTGAAAGTCAGCCCAGATCCTTTTTTAGGAGCTATTTTACATGGAAAATGTGATACCGGATCTATTAATGATACACTAGCAAGAAGAGAATACACATCAGCTTCCCTCAGTGTTGTTATTAGATTTATGAAATAGGGCCTTTAAAAGCCCAATTATCTGTGTTGCTACTTTAGTCAGCAACCAAAACTCAACATACATCAGAAGGTCAAGAAAGAGAACATTAAAGTGTCATCTTTAGAGGGGCTTTCATCTATCACAAACATAACCAGTACAGCAGAAATTTTCTTTATCACTTTTCCCAACACAGTCCAATCCAGATGGAATGGAGATAATTGCTCTGCATCCATTTGTGTTACCAGCTCACATCAATGCAGTTACTAGATTTGTGATTTCTAGCTCTTCACAAGTATGTTCTTCAGGGGACAGGGTTCCCATCCAGTTGAATTTGATAAATACACATGTAGCATAAGTGAATCTCAGGTTCAGGTGTGGATAATTCTTCCTATTTGTGTCCTGGGAAAAAAGGAGGATGAAAGCATGAGAAAGACAATTTGTTTATTGTCTAAGGATATTCTCCACTGAAGTTCCTTCACTGCCTTTTCTCTCTGTCCAGGAGTCAATATGTTTATGCTAAAGAGAGCATCATATAGAAGCTCCTTGTTGTTCTGTCCCTGTATGTCCTACTATACTGCCCCTTCTGTTCCACTGCACCACATTTAGAAAAGACATCAGCAACAAGATGAAGGTGTCTTGTAGTAATCTACAATTATAATTGACAGCGAATATAAAATAATACGTATCATATATTGGTCTGATTAATGCAGTCTTGTCATATTAATTCATTTTCTTAAAGGCCTGTGCGAAGCTCGTGCAGGGCCAAAGTACTTCCTCCTGATCCCTTGTGGGTACTGAAGAGTAGCTTCAGTGGAGACACCATTTTGGAAAGTATGTATGTGCAAGCCGCAGGAGTGCACCGAATTCTAAAACCATGGCATAGACTGCCAACACCATGAATTTACCACACAAGACAAAATGTTCTCCTCCTCATGGGAATTTCAGAGCAAATCTACCACCTGAAAGTCTGCATGGGGAACTCCATCCTGGTTGCACATGAATTTTCCCAAGAAGTAAATTCCTTCCTCTTCAGAAATATCTTTCATGTCCTTAAAGAAGAAAAGTGAAGAAGAAGAATATTTCCACCATTCCAGAGTTAAACCATGACTACAGCCCCAATGGCTGTTGCAGCCCCAGTCACAAGTCTCAGGGCTGTGACTGGGCATGCAAGCAAAAGGAACCAGCAGTTGAACTAAAGAGGACCAAAAAAGGAGCCTTTCCAAGTGACTCACTGTAAAGGATAAAAAAAGGAACTTGCATAGATAGCTAAGTTCTTTGGAGCACTAATGATCTCCTATGTCTGCAACCCTGCTTTGGAAATGGGAGCCAGCATCACAGCATGTGGGCAGATGACTCTGGACAGCTTTCTCATGACATATCCCTGGCAACCCACCCATGTCTCAGCAGCTTCCTTGGTCATTATCCCACTGAAACAAGACACAACAGGGAACATTGAACCATGTTCCAGATAACAAGATCCAAACTGTATGCAAACTGCTCTTGTGACATAGAAATTCCAGGATCCAAGGCCACCAACAAAACAGGGGAAAGAGATTGGTTGTTTAGCAAGAAGATCTTGCCTGGTTTTTGGTATGGAGGATGCAAATCAAATTAAACACGTTCCTATGCTGTTTAAGACAACAGTTGTGGAACACTGCTAGAAATGCTGCTAAGTGTCCACATAAGAACCTCCATCGTGGATATATTTGACACTAGATTAGCAACAGGGGGGATTTTTTCCTACAAAATTTTGGTCCTTAGTGGTGATACAGCCAAATAGGGTGAGTCCACAGGTCTTTAACCCTCCAATACAGATCTTCCACACATTTAGTGAGTATAACAACCTGTACCTTTCTGACCTGGGATCTCCAGTCATGTTCAGCCCACAGCCTTGCAGGTATGAATAGAGACAAAGCAGCTGTTACAATTCCAGACCTGAGTTCAGCTTGAGTCCTCACTCGAGCTTGTTCCATCTGCCTTTGCAGCAAAGATGCATTTGCTTCTGGGTAACTCAAGTACATACCGAACCTGTACATTTTGTACAGCTTGAATGAAATCAACAAACCTGCAGAAGAGCTAATATTAGCTGGGCCTCAACTACCTAATACTCAAATAATAATCCATTTAAAAAGCAGTGTTTTCATTTAAACATGCAACATAAATAAAATGTCAGCTAATGTTACTAAAAGACAAAATTATGATTCCCAAAACTTCAAAAATCTCAAGCACCTAAAAGCCACAAAACACATGTCTGAAGATGTCCGTTCTCACAAAGCCCGCATTTTTAAAAGCTATTAAAAGCACATACTTCATCACAACAGTAATGGTATTTGCACAGTTTTATCAAAACTCAACACTACATACTTTCTTTGCTGTGAAACACCAGCAAACTCTTTCTCAAGAAGCAGCAATTATCAGCACTTTCTGAAGGATATCATGTTCCTAAAAGCAACTTGTTAAATCCACTGATCAGAACTGAAGTTCTAAGTCAACAGTAATGGTCTTACGTCCAAAGGATATGTTTAAGCTCCATGAAGTTAGAAGTTCTGCAGTTGATCTCCCATGTTTGTTTTCTGTGAGGGACATAATATAGGGACCACACTGTCAGTTTAGCAGCTAAATTGTTTGGTTTGGAATTATTGATTTGTTCCAATTCAAAGTTGTTCTGAAATTCTTTCAGCTTTCCTTTTTGACCCCCAAAAAACCAAGACATTTTCTCTTTACACCTAGCTGCCAAGATCTAAATCTGTATTTTCTGTGTTTCCCTAGTAACAGCTGGTGATGTCATAAATTTACTAAATGGTAGAGGGAGATGCTATGCTCTGTGCAGCCATGAAAGTCTGGAAGAGAACCGCTAGCTGGCTCTCTGCCCAGCTGCCAACAGCATTCACCTTCTCTGCCTGCCCAGCTCTGTATCTGGATCAATTTGGAGAGTTCTCCAGAAGGCCTGATTCCTTCTTGGCAATGGGAGTGGAAGTCATAGAAATTATTTCTACTGTTTCAATTTCGAGCGCTTTGTAAGATCAGTTTGCTGAGAACTGTTTTCTAAGCAAGGTTTGTATCTGAAATGATGCTTGCAGTCTTTTGTTTGTCGCCAATGTAGCTTTCAACCTGATCAGAACTGTCAGTAAACTCCACTGCCACACACACCACTGCTGTGAAGACCAGGGAGCTCCTCTGAAGGACCATACCCAGGGAGGGTTGGCAACTGGTTCCTGATCAGACTGGGTTACTCTGCCTAGTACTGTGTCACACAAGAAAGAGTTGGGAAGTGGAGGAACAAGGAGAGCAGGTATAACATTCTGGTGTCTTACCAGGAGCATGACATCCAGAAAACGTGCGTATTTCCAGTAGAATCCATAACACATACAAATGTACTCCTTCACTGCAAGTTTCACGCCATTTCACAAAAGAGTCACCTGCAAACATTATAGCATATAGATGAGAGGAAAAAAGCTTTCCCATCACTACATACTAGGAGGTAAAAGCAACAATCAGATAATTATATGTATAAAAATTCCTTTGTTTGTGTACTGCAATCACTTATTTCCTGGCACATACAGACAATGAAACTGGCATTCCAGTCCTGAGATATGACTCACAACTACACTGAAAAGAAAACAGGTCTGCGTGTTATTCTTAGAGATTAAGCAAAGCGCTATGTATTCTAATTCAGGCAGTTCTCTTTGAGGAAGAAGCCAAGGAAGAGAAAGATTTAGGTATATTACAGAGCTATCAGTGTGATTTGAATCTGATTTGTCTAATGATTTCAAAGAAAGATCCTTCTAGATCCTCACAGACACAGTCCCTTGCCATACTTCAACTGGATACTTTGAAGTAGATAGGAAGTAAGGGTATTCTGTACATAAAACACTCATGAGGCAGCTTAGTTGCCCATGACTGAGAGACAAAAGAGATTTTATATTTTTCAGGGTCTGTACTCCTTGCAGGTTAAAGACAAATCTACCAGGAGCAGATACAGAATTTCTGCAGAAGTTTCATCAGCACTCTACAGAGATACTGTGTCTCTCCATTTTATGCCTGCTTTGGAGTTCTGATGTATCTAGAATGAGGAAACACCACCTGTGCACTGCATCGCGGTGCCATATGGCTCAGATACAACAAGCAAACCCAGCTCGGATGCCTGTACATAGCTGTGTGACCTTTAAGTTAACCTTGTCATCCAGGGCTTTACTGTGGGAGATCATTGTATGGATAATTGTTCCTGGTGTAATTTTCAGAGTCAATGCATTGCCCATCTCCAGACAAAGCACAGAAGTTTCACTGGTGACCCCAAGCTCAGCCAGACCATCAGAGTTACAGGAAAAAGGAAGAGATGTAGATGAGCAGGAAAATAAGGACAGCTTTTCCTTCTCCATTTCATTGTTCAGATCCAGTTTTGACAGCTTACAGCGGAGTAGTGTCTCACAAACTCTTGTCATAGGGGACATCCCAGGAAAGATCAAAGAACTGCACCTACTGAGAAATACTGTTCTTGTCTACATCGAGTGTTCCTTAAAGTGTGGTCTAAAGCTTTCTGGAAAGGCTCACCATCTGACAGCTGGTGTCTCTTCTTTGCCTCTTCCTTCTTCTCCTCAATTGAGCAAATAATGAATTTGCTTGGTATTTCATCAGCACCAAAAATTAATAAAGTAAAATTACTTTGAGAGATAAGACTCCCATTATTTCCCTTCTTGTTTATACATCTTTAGCCTAGGACTAAGTTCTTGCATGAACCATAAGGAAAACAAAACAAAACAAAAACCCACAAAACCCAAACTCCCTAGACAAATAAGAGGAATTCAGAGCAGAGTGATGAACTCTACAGTACTCTTTAGAAAAGATTCCTAGGAAGAATATTACTGCTAGAAAAGCAATCATCTTCACTACTGGTGCAGAGTGAGGAAAAGAAAGCCCTAGGCCAAAACTGGTATCAAGCTTATTTTATTAATTTCTGTTATTAAATCATAAAACATTTGAAATCATTAAAAGGCCAAACTGGACAGCTGAGACCAATTATTCAGGAAAACAGAACAATGGGAGAGGAATCCTCTCCTGAACATTAGCAAGAAACACAGGGAACTGCCCAGCTTCAGTCTCACTGAGGATATGGAATCGTTGATATTTTTAGCATTTTCAGCAGCGATGGTTAATGGACATGTCTAAACAGAAAGCAACTAAGGATTTAATGCCCCCCCAAAATGTTTCGTTAGCTTCTGTAATAAACATCAAAGTACCTGGACCTTAGACCCAAGAACCAAATAAATATATAATGATTTCATTATCTATAAGAAAAGGTGAATTGTATCTGGTAATACAGCATTAAGAGCAATGAAGCATTAAGTGCATCACCACGTTGGCTTAGAACTAGGTAATGTCATATTTTAGCATCGTGTCCTTACAAAAGGTTAATGAAGGCAGGTTGTGTTTTTCAAAATAATTGTCAAGTTAATGTTTAACAGTCTGAGAGTGGTGACATTGGAATGCAAGAGTGAGGGGTCACATAACATTAGAGGGCTGACTAAGACATATTAGTTGTAGCATAAGATGTGTAAGCAATGCATAAAATCTACAAGCACATATGCATATTTTATGTTTTGAGGGTGATACTGACATACCTCATGGTTTATAGAGAAGAAATGCTATTAGAAAAATAGATCTCTGTAACCAGTTTACCCTTCTTGCTTCTGTCAAGCACAGGAGACATTAGTTATAACACAGTGAAGAGTGTTATCCTTGAGAAAACGATGCAGAATACTTGCATGATTTCAGTATAAACTTAAGGCCTGTGGCTTTTCTTGTGCAAATACAAGATTTCCAGTAATAATTGCAGCTGATGTCTTGTGGCTTTTTAGAAGGACAAGGCTATTTAAAAATCCCAGATATTAAACTGTGCTGTCTTCACCTTTATATAAAAGGTAACAGCTTGATAGATGGAGCTTATTGCATCTTCCTTATCAGCTGCTATATTTGCAGAATGTGCAGAACACAGATATACTCTCCAACGGCCAGAGTTGCCACAGAGTATTTTCACCTTGGTGGCTACTTATTTTTTACTATTCTGAATGAAAGAGATTTTACAGCTTCCTTGGCACTCAACAAAAATGAGATCATTCTTCTCTACCAAATAATGGTTAGAAGTGGATAGCAGCCTACTGAAAAATACCATCTTGGAGAAATTCTAAATTGGTCTCTTCATTTTTCTGAAGCTGAGAGGTGCTTTAGATATCCTCCAAACCAAGGGATAAGTGCCAGAGAGTTTGAGATTCCTCATTTTTATATTTTTCTTTAGTAAGGAGAACTTAACTTTTTTCTTTGTTAGCATAAAATGGCTTTCTTCATGCATTGTGCCTGGTATGGAGACTGACACCAACATGACATATCCTGCCCTCCCGATGCAGCTGTTCCATACAAAGACGTCCCATTAACAGCCAACGTCTGGGATATGAATGGAAATCTGTTCCTGAAGAGGTAAGGGTTGAAGTGACACCATTCCCATTGGGAGCCTCATATCATCATAAGATCTTTACTCAAAAGAGACTTAACTGTCACTTTATTATGGTTCTGTCTCCATTCTCCCTTTCTCCCATCTTTCATCTCTATCACATATCACAATTCTTGATACTTTGAGATTATTCTGTTAGGCATACAATTACTCCTTTGTTTATGGACATACATGTGCATTCAACCAGCTTACCTTGCAGGGAATCCCAGCTCCTGCTACTGTGTAGAATAGCCAAGTTCACACAGACGGGCAGGGGGAGGCTCTCCCTCCACCCTTCAGTGATCTACAAAGAAGAAAAGACCTTTACTGTAAATCTCATTCATACTCTCTCTCTCTCACTTAAAATGGCTTTAGCCAGGGGCAACTCTAAATGCACTGCAATGTTTTGACACTGGAAAAAAGACTCACTACATTGATGCCAATCCATTCATGAGCTCACATGGCAGCATGGCAAGTTCTGGCTACTGATGTGGTTACAAAAAGGTGCTGAGTAAGGACAGCATAATTCCTAATGCAAATATTTCTTCTTTATTGTGCTCCCAGCAGTGGTATCCACATCCAACAGAGAAGTTTTTAGAGCACTTGACAGTTAGATCTCTGAATAAGCATATTTCTCAATTCTGTCCAATACTGCATTTCAGTATGATCACATGGTCTAAACTCTGCTGAGATCAACACTGTAAACCCCCCAAAATGAAACTGAGCCATCAAATGCCACATCTAATTTCCTATGTACCTGCCAATAAAAGCCAGACAATTGTAGGCGTCTATGCTCCAGAGCAGTAGCTACACAATGGATATGTGCAGGGGGTCTGGAGTCATCAGCCCCAGTGAGCAGATTTAGTTGCTCTCAGCACTACATTACTCAAGCTAACCCTGAACTTATAATGAAGAGATTAGTCATAGAAATTTTTAAACAACCAAAAATCAAAATATGGTTAAACCACAATAGTTGCCATTTGTGTCTGGGAAACTTAATTTTGTTAATTATAAATAACAACTGAGTTGCCTGTACTTTACTATGTACTAATAAATTATTTTTATAAGGTCACGTTACATTTTCCTATATCATCAGTATTTACAGCCACAAGAACATTAATAAACTATGAGCATGCCCTAATATGTATATATATCTATGTGTGTGTATGTATGATATACACGCTAACATATTTACCCTTCTTTAAAACTCTGTGCCCTTAGCTTAGAAAAGCTCCACTCTGAAATATGAAGGGTGAAGGGGAATAGCTTTTCTTGTACAGAGTAAAAGGTATTAGCAGCTGTCTGCTGTAGTGTCATTCGTGCTCTGGAAGAGGCACTTGACAAACCCCAACAGGAAAATGTCAGTAAAGACACAGGCAAAGTTCTGCCAGGGGAAAAAGTGACTTTCATCACTAATTCTCACTGACTTCCAGCCGTAAGTGTGCAAGGAGGAACCAACTCTCAATTATTTCATTTGTAAGTGTTGGCATACATTTTCCCTGGATTCTTGCCTAGGATTCTTGCCCTTTTCTCATGCCTGCCACCATGAATTGGGATTTATTCCACTCAAGCAAAATCAGTGAAAAAAACCTCAGATACTCCATTTGTTTTTCATGAAGAATATTTGCAGTCACTCTTTACCCTTTTAAGATGACAAAGCAATCTAAGAATTTAACTTGATCAGCTCCTTTACCTTCTTCAAATAGTGACATTTGGCACAATTACCATAAGGAATTTTTTAAAATAACAGGAGCAGCAATAACAACCATACTCTGAACTTGCTTATTCTGATTAGGAAAATGTAGCTGTCAGCAGATAAGAATGTTGTGTAAATTTAACACTTTTTTTTTGGAGACCTCACAAGGCCACATACATGACAAAATGCATCTCACAAACACTTCTGGCAGTGAAGGGCTGAGCAGACTGCAGGCAGAACTAGCACCAATACCCTTGAGTGCAACAAAATAACTCTCAGGAGCCCTCAGAAAATTATGAATATGGCTGTGCTGAATGAGATGCAGTCAAAATCCTAAGGCTGTTTTGAAGCAGACATGATTTTGTAGAACATGAATATTATTAAGTTCTGGTTTCTGTTTTATTGTAAATATTATTAATACGACTTTTCTCACAACAATCAAATATTCTTAGGATAAAGCTCTAATACTGGCTAAATGAAATAAATAGAACATATCATATTCATTGTTTACCCTTGCATAACAACTTGCTTTACTTTTGGGTCACTGGGACAATTGTGCTTATTTAAAATAAGGAATAAAACTTCTGAGCAACCATGTATTCATGTAACTGGGAAAGGAAGAAAAGAAAAAGTAGGAGAACAAAGTGATAGCTTTGATCAGATTGCCAGCAATTTGACACTAATGTATCCTTAATTATAATATAAAAAACCCTTTATCAAACCCCATCCCCCAAAACATCTTACTGGAGACATGTCTATTTTTAACAGCAGCCAGTGTCTGACAGAGGCAGATTTCATCCTCACCTTTCACATACCATGAGGAGGGGGGGGGGAATCAAAAACAAGAAAAGCAGCAGATACATTTAGTGTTCTCTTTACCATAACAAAGCTTATCTTCTTTGTAGGTTTTGGCCTTCAGTCTTTCCTGCTAAGCTGATTGAACTCTTCAGGAAATGATGCATGAGGGGAGGTTTCCAGTCAACTCTGTTGAGGAACTAAAGATTCCCAGGAGGGTGACAATAAGCTGAAATGATGGGTTATGATAGGAGGCATTGCAGATATAGATAGGAAGAACAAACCAGCTTCAGCTAAAGACATTCAAAATGCATAAGCCTGAAAGTGCATTTAGAAACTATCAGCCTGGAAAGACTCCTGCTTCAGCAGAAATGACTTGTCAGGGGCAAGCAGCCACTTCAGGACTTTTTAATCAGTATTTCACAACTGCTGCACTGTAGGCATTCCTCCTGGCAGCATTACTCACTTGGCTGCCCATATGCCTGATCGTAATGGTTGTTTCTTGGCCGTATTATTACTTCTATAAGGCAGCAGCCTTCCAGCTGCATGACATATGTAGCCCACAGGCATGTACTTTTAACATATGCTGTATCTTGTCCTTTACATTGTTCCTATTAAGTCAACACTAAATGAGGAGACTGGGACTGCTCTGTCCTCTTAGCAGTCAGTAAGTCCCAGAGCAAGAACTGAAAAGCTTCCAGTGTTGCAAGCCTGGCCTGAAGGATTAGGAACAGTAAGGATTAAACATTGTCATGTGTTTAACCAGGCCCTCATGCTGAGTGTTCTTGCCTTGTCTTTTCCTTGTAAATTACCCTTTTTTTAACCTACTTTCTCCTTTCAAACAGAGAAGTGCTCCAGAGAACTCTTGTAAAACTCATTCTGAATAAATACTCAATGACATTTGAAATTAGATCACATCACTGTTGAGCCCATGAGACTTACCAGAAGGTGCAGTACAAATGTAAGATTTACATGAGCTATTCCTGATTTATACCCATTTAAGTGACAATTGAATCAGAGCAGTATTTTTTCTGCAGTCCAAGATCAAACACTTGAGTGTTTCACCTGTCTGTCTAAAGAAATTGTCTCATTCCCTTGGTCATTCATAGTCAGTTTTGATTTTGTGGTTCAGATAGGAGACTTGCATTCTGCTGGATACTGGAAATAAGCATTTGGTTGTGGAAAAACTCTTTGTTACTTCTCCATTGGGTTATGTAAAAAAGTTCTAATCTCACCATCCAGTATTTACTGCATTCTTAGCTTCAGGTTAAGCAACAATACAGATCTCTAGTTCATAGAAATGAGAAGTGGAAGTAGTTAGTCACCCCTAGCTTTCCTCACTCATGTATACACCATATACATGTACCCACACAATAGAATCTGCTGCATTCAAAACACAGATGACCAGGTGAATCACAGTCACATACTAAAAGATTTAAAATAAACTACCCTATTTTGAAACAGCAGGCCATGAAGCTTTACTTTGTGCTGGGCATTAAATGGGACCTGAGCAACCTGACTTTCGTGCTACAATGTGTTTCCAAACAGTTTGGGCTCATGGATTTGGTAGTTTTCCTCTGATATCTATGCATAGTCTGCACAGGGAAGGAGGCAATATACAGAAGGGGAAATTGCTCTCCTATCTCTCCAACTGTCTTCTCCACAAAGGTGTACGCTGTGGTTCTCCATTTCACGATAAGCTGCAGTTTCACTCCTGATAGAGCACTGTGCACAGGCTCAGCATTACTTAAGAGACTCGATCTTGGCAAAAGAGGAGAAAAAAAGAGGCTTTCAATAACTGATGTTTTTTTAGCAACTTCAGAAGTTCTGGGAACAAAAGATCTGGTCTGGCTATACAATTGTAAAACTGGAACAGAGTTTATGAAAGTCTGCTCTCATCAGGAGCTCAGAATCTCCTCTTGAAAGGTTGAAGTCCTCTAAGCGCTGGTGAGAAGCAGCTCTTTTTCTTTTCCCAGTGTCTTTTGGCAGTCTTTACTTCCTATTTGAACCTGGGATTAATGCCAGGCTGTTCCTGAAGTGTTCAGACCTGTCGACAATTTGTCAAACCTCTAAACCAGAGTAAGGCCACAGTGCAGAGAAGCAGGGTAAATTTAGCCCATGCTGAAGTCCCACAGCTGGATTCCTCTGCGATATCCAGTGCAGTTCACTTAAAACTAGCTCAGGAACCTCTATATTCTGCTGTGACACCGGCATGCTGCCCTGAGACACACTGCCTCCTTAAAGGGCAGTCTTGTGCTCTTGAGAAAAAACCATCAAGCGGGAATCATAGAAGTCCTTTCTGTACCCTTTAGTCCAAGATCTTTCTGGATTAACCTTTCTTAGCTGAAATGGTGAAAGGGGTCTTTCCATGGTGGTATTTGTAAGGTTGAACACCACGTGTCAGGTACCTGTGAAGGTCAGAGACAGTGAGTGTTCCCTGGGGTGCCTGTCCTACCACCCCAGTCAGGCACCAGGGAAGTCTGGGGGCAGCTCCAGCCATCAGGCAACTCCCTGGGCATGGGGATAGGACAGGATGTATCCCCATGGGCGGGGTCAGGTTCAGGTCCAGAGCAGGGAACCAGGAGCAGACATAGCTCCAGGATGGCTGGGCAGTGCCTTGGGGATGGAACTGGGCTTAGCCCAGCCAGAATGTCAGCATGCAGATCAGGTCAGGCTTGGCATAGCCATATGTCTGCAGAGCTGGAGATCAGCTTTCTATGGCACCAGGGACTCAAGTGCGATATGGATCCATGGGTTGGGCTAAGGAGAGGCCCCAGGAGAGGCTGGGCAGGGACAGTGAGGGCCCATGTTAGTGCTCCATGGCTCTGACAGCATGGAAGTCACATCACGTGCTCTCAGGGCTATCACAGAGAAAGGACTGTGCAGCTGCCTGACACTAGGCTGTAACCATGTTTGAAAGTTTTGAAACACAAGGAGGAAAAAATTATATTTAAGCCTCCAGCAGGAAACAAAGCACTTGGGTTTGGATTTTTTGCATTTGGCAGGCAGAGGGCATACTCAGCCTAGACCTAAATATAGCCTTCTGTCTGCTTAGAGGCTTTTTATTCTTTCTGTCTCTTGACACCAGTATACACAAAATTTATTCAACCTGCAGCAAATGTATCATTCATATAAAACCACACAATCTGTTTTGGAGAAATCAGCAGCCATTTTAAGTAGCCATCAGCGTGCTGGAGGTGCAGGACTGACCAGCAGAGTCATCCATCTCCCAGCAAGGAGTCACAGTCCTCCTTCCAACACCTGAAACTGGTACTGGGAGTTGGGAAATAAGATGTTCAGAGCCAGTTGAGGTAACACTTAGGGTATGACTGATCAAGAGTTTTCCAGTTGACTGATTTTTCCAATAAAAAGTCACAGATTCTGCTCCCCTCCAAAATCACTTTTTTTCTGTCAGCAAAGTCAGAACCACAGCTCTCTGCCCAGCTGCCTCTAAAGCTTTCGCGGTTTTGTTCCTGCCTCCAGGTAAACAGTCTTTTTTGGATCCCTGCATGTATAATAACTGCCTGGAAAAATTAGCAGGAATGAAAGTTTCAATGCAAAAGCATTATTTTCCACACACATAGGCTCTGCTGTTAGTGATTAAATTAGCAACCTCAATCCTAGCTCACATATTCATCAAAGAATTTTATTATATATTAAATAGTGCAGCACATATATCCTCAGTTTCATAACTATTCATCTGGTGGAAATCTGACAGTTCCTTAATTCACACAGAAGACTTTGTCCATTTGCTGGCAAAACTTGTTAGTGAATGCAGTGAGTCAATTTATATATATACTGTATGTGGCACACAGAAACATTTTTCAACGAAGTATTTACAAAGATCACTTTTTTCTATGCAATATCAAGTTTTTCTATAAATAGACACACTGTTAAAACTGAGCTGCAGAGCTGAGTCCCCAGAGGTGAGGTGGGTGCCCCAGATGGTGGGGTCCCCAGCATGCTCAAGTGACTTGGTCCTGGGAGTCTCTGTGGCTCATCAGTACCTCAGCTGCTGGAGCCCTCAGCCTTCCTTGCCTTTAGGATGTGGTGGCAATGCTGGAGACACTGACCCAGCCGTGGCTGCACTTCCTGCTGTGGGCTGAACCCAGACTCAATGTCACCCTTGCATGGCCCAGGGGAGCACGGAGACTTGGTGGGGTTGGGGCACCAGGTGATGCTGCAGCAATGGCTAGAACATATCAAGAAGGAGTAGTAGGCAAAGAACTGGGACAGAAAGGAGAGAGGGGGTCATAGGGGGACACTGGAGAGAGGGGCAGGGACAGGAACGCAGGGACAGGAACACAGGGACACATGGTGTCTATAGGATCCCTGAGTGACTTTCTTCTTCCCAAAGCACAACAACCCTAAAAGATTCCAGGATTGGTTGGTGAGTGAAAGCCCAGGAGTTTCAAGGGCCTGCCTAATATCCTAATATCTTCTCCTATATGGAAGAGGAGAAGATAGATCAGCATGAGCATGGTTTTAGGAGAGTGTACCAGGCACAGCTTGTTTCTCCAACAGAAAATTATCTTCTGTAATGATTTGTGCCAAAGGAGGCACCATTCCAAATTAAAACAGAGAAATCTGTCAGGCTCATCTGAAATCAGAGGCCTGGGCTCACCGCCAACACCCTCCAAAGCAAGGAGTCATCACTGGCATTTGGGGTATCTCAGAGGTGAAATGGTACCCACTCACTGCAAAGACAGATCTCAGCAAGGCACTGAGGGGAGGCTTTCCAGACCGTGTCCCCAGCTTCAAAGGCTGTACTAGGAAACTAGATCCAGTCTATTAAACAGAGCCCACTAGCTGCCATGGAATGTTTCTGTCAGGCCTCACTGCTCATCCACAGGAGTCCAGAGATGGAAAATGCACCACCATCATGGCATGAAGTTGTACTTCTCTAGAAAAAAACCTACAAATAAGATAGGGAACAAGGCAATTCAGAATTACACAACCTGTTAAACAAGCTAACATCTAAATATCCCAATTACAGCAGCAGTAAACCCCACTGTCACTGAAGATGGGAGCCCACTGCTGATTTTAAGCAAAGGAAAAATTTCTCACAGGGCATCAAACAGCATTGAAAGAAAAGAAAAAGACTATTGCAAATCCTATGGAGATTTTGCTTTTCATAGAAGAATAAAATGTGAAATGTAACCCAAGGCCTTAATCTCTCATTTTTCAGAACATGAATGTGAACCTAATTTTCATGAAACATCTATATCAATAAATTCCACTCCATAAATTTGTGTTTCCTGCAGAGATATGTTCCCAACTCAGAGTACAAAGAGAATAGGCAAGGCAGGTACTTGGACAAAATAATAAACAAAGCAATGTGAATGCATTCTGTGGAGAAAAGAGGAAAACTCTTCAACTCCTAGCACATCAATACACCTGTTAAGAAAATCATGGCTATTTATCCATGCCCTTCTTCAATGCCTGAAAATATATCTAAAGATGTGCAGGTCTAGCTCTTCAAAAAACATTTTTTATTCTAAGAACATCAACTATAAACATGGTTACAAAAGAGAACTAAGCACCGAAAAGTCTAGTGCTACTGGGAAAAATGTAGCAATATGTACACTCTGATGATCCAGCCAGCTGCACAAATCACAGATCAAGTCTGCAGGCACTTCTTCAAGAGCCCTAACTACCTATGTTGCCTCTCAGGTAGCTGCCTTTTGCCTGCCAAAAATTAAATTAATGGGTATTTTCAGTCCAAATCTATTCCCACATTAACACTTGAATCTGGAGATGGTTTGGAAAGCGCACATGCACTTTTCTTATTCCACCCAAGAGTTTTAAGATGGTTCTTTTCCAGGAAAAATGTTGTGTTCCCTTGAACAGAATTATAAATAGGGAGAGGAAATTCAGTTGTGCTGTTTCGTTTTGTTTGACTGTGCTCTCTGTTCCAGCAGCAGCACACAGTGGGTGTGATGCAAGGTATTCAAGGACTGGGGTCTGCTCCCAGTGATGGGGAGTGATGCTGCATGAGCAGCAGGTCCACTGACTCCTGATTCTTGAGCTGCATTCACTACTGGTAGGCACTCACAAATCATGTTCAACCAGTCCTTCTTTGCTGTTTGTCCAGGTTCTTTCTGTCCCTTCGGTAGATAAGTCTGGACTTCAGATTTCCAAGTTGGGGTCTAACTGGCTACATCTGAAACGACTGTTGTCTAAACACACAGGCTGCACCACGGCACACGCCTTCTCATCCTCCTTTGCTTCCATTTAAGATCTCAAAACATATCCATGGCAACTGCAGCTCTTGCTTACAAGAAAACAGAGACATCAAGAAATGTCTAGAATTTCCTTCCAGAGTCTGGCATCAAAACATAGGACGCAAATTCAATGCTTCTCAGTTCCCTGGGAAATATGGTCATCTCCTTGGTATCCACAGTCTTCTCCAGGGACCCCAGGCCACTAGAGCACCATAGTTAACCTAAATACGCAGCAGCAATCAGACACAGCACTTGGCTTGAAGAGATCCATTTCCTGCTGGAAGGATCACAGCGGTGTAGAAAAGGTGTGACAGTAGGAAGAAGACAGTGTAGGAAAAAAAATAGCTCATTATAAAGGAGCAAGATATGAAACAGTAAGCAGCTTGCATTTCATATGGGCAGAAAGGTGAGGTCTAGGAGAAAAAAACTGATGTATTGGAACAGTCTGTTCCAGCAAAGTACAAAGCTAAATGTGGCACAGACACATGCTATTCACCCACAAGCTCTAAACCTACAGAGGAAGCATACGCCTGTCAACATTTTGACTTATAACAGAATTAACATCACGTTACAGCAAAACCAAAAAAGGCTTAAAAAGACAACCCTGAAATGGAAGAGAAAAATGAAGGCATTGAAAGGGCTTGTCATACTCTGCTGATCCTGGCTGACACGTACTGAGAACAAAAGTTGGAGGGGTTGGATTTGTAAGAGAGTCTTCCACTCCCCAATATTTGTGTGCATTTACAAACCCAACTGATCCTTTGGGGGACAACAGAGTGAGATTAGAATGACGCATACCTGGCAAGAGACACTCTGGATTTGTTGTTGAACTAGTCATCAAAATATGCATTGTGCTTTTTTCTTTCTTTTTTCTTTTCTTTTGTTTGTTTTTTTTTTTTTTTTATATTATTGCTCAGACAGCTAATCAATTATTCATTTGTAAATGAAGGTCAGGCTTCTTCCTTCCCAGGGATACTGCATATAAA